CAATATCAGATGACAGCCCATAAACACTAAGAAAATCGGAGCCAGGCATGTTGGTGCAGACCTACAACCCTAGCACTGAAAGGCTGATGCAGAAGGGTGGCAAGTTTGTGGGACAGAGTGAGACCCTGTCTAACAGAAGGAGAAATTGAGAATGATGGAAAGAGCGAGAGAGAGTGAGAGAGAGAGAGAGAGAGAGAGAGAGGAGATAAATAATACTAAGCTAGTGTGAAAAACCAGAGGGAGAAATACTAGTTCAAAATCTTACTGAAAAGTTACATAGACATATCTCTACATGTGTCCCAATGTATAGCCGAAGGCTATATAGCAAGAAATAGTGCCACACCGTCAAAAAGACTCCCCAAATTACACAGGCTATTGTCATAGGCCTTGATTACCTCACAGAACTTAAAAGTAAGATCCTACTGCTGAAGAGAGGGCATACTTCAGACACAGGACTTGAAGCAGTAGAGCTGGAACTGACCTGGAAGGCACCTCCCTGAAGACTAGCTCCCATAGTTTTGAAGGATACTATGCAAGCTGCTGAGGGGAAAAAAAATCACTCAATGGTACCACCCCACCTTTAAGGCCTAATAACCACAACAATGACCAGAACACAAAACTACATTGGAGCATTAGGGGTAATTTTATCTTGGGAGTAATTAACAACAACTAATTGGACTTAAATTCCACTCAATGAAAGTGAATTCATGTGTTGTACTGTAAACATAGCGAAATACACATGGCTGGAGAGGTCATAAATCATAGAGAAAATTAAGAGTGTCACATGTCTAAACAAATGTAATTTCTTATTATATGCTAAATATGGATCTATATATTTGTATTCATATGAAAGTTACTACTCATCAAAGAAGCTTCTTTTGCACAGACAGACTATTACAGAGTTCCACAACTTTTAGTTGGGACAACTGTTCTCTTCAGGGAGGATGATGATCACAGTGAGTTTCTGGGTACGGAAGTGAGGGATATATGGGGATCTCTTCTACTTCTTCTCAGTTTTATTGTAAGTGTACCTAAATCTGACCTAAAATTAAAATATATGAAGAAGGAAAAAGGAAAGCTACTAGGCACCTCTAGGTCAACCAGTTTCATGCATCTAGACTCTTTGTTAGAAAATTATCTACAATGGGATCCTGCCAGGAAACTGCCAGACAGCCTAATTACAAGTCCCTAAGGATGGTTCATCGATCATCTCAAGGACTGGAATGCATTCAAGATACCAATGACTTTAAATATATCCCAAGACTGTTGTTTCTCAGAACTATGAGTCAGTTTGGACAGGACCTGTTATTTCCATGAGTAAAGCTGGCTAACATGTTTCTTTTCACTTTGTTCAGGAAATAGATATAGAGGACAAGGGAATGCCCTTACTTGAATTTATTATATACTGAGAAACAGGGAGTTTCATTCATCTTCCTTATCTAATCTTCCAAGATATAACCAGATGAGTGCTACCAGATAATACATTCTAGACAAGATAGAGACACAGCCCCATGAAATCCCAGGACTATGGTTGCCTAACAAAACCTATATAATGGCAATATCATTTGACATGACAATGTTTTTGGTGGAAATGACAGTGTCCCACCTCTAGATAAAGAGTTACAGGTGATGGATTCTGAGGGAGAGAGTATTAGTTTACTCCAGGGACAATTTTCCTGGTACGTTATTTAATCCCAAGTTCTCAGACCTAAACAAATGTACACACAAGCACAATTCAATGGACTAAGATGTGTACTTGTGAATACATTTATGTATATATAACAATAAGAAGAGAGTATGAAATTGAGAGGACATGAGAGAGGCCATAGGAGGAGGTGGAAACAGGAGTGAAATGTGTGGAAATGATGCAAGTAGAGCACTCGTGTGAAAATCTCAAAAATATTATATAACAAACCTAAGTATATATAAAGAGAACCTTCTTTATTTCATGAAAACTGGTTTTTATCTATAGATATTTATATTTTATGCTGTCAATTTACTAATCATATTTTTAGATTAATCATGGCAATATTCTTGTACATTCTTATCAAATATAAATCCCATTTTTGTTGTATTTTCTTTAAATAAAGTCATATTTACTTTTAAAATAAAACAAATATATGATATACATGCCATGTGTAAAATGTTCATGTGTTCTTTGATCTTCATTCCTACAAAATTCAATCCCTACTTATGTAAGTATCATATGTGATAAAATATTATTCTTTGCAATGAAGATGCTTGAGGCTTTTTCATATGCATGAGTCAGATGAATCATTTATTATAATATTATTGTAATTTATTTTGATAGGAATCATTTTCTTTTCTACTTAGCTTCAGGAAAGTTTTTCCCTAATGGCCTCAATTATTTGTTCACAATGTTTGAAATTGTGGGACCTTTTTTCCTTAAGCCTGAGGCTTTCCATTCAAAGTCATTACAAAACCAATCAATTTTCTGCAAAAGAAGAGAAGAGCATAAATTTCTTAATGTCCTGTATTCAAAATCATCCATTTGATAATCCTTTGTACTTGTAAAGTGTTCCTTTAAAAAAAAAAAAAAACCTTGGTCATACAACATAATTTTCTTACTAAAGATATAATATGCAAAAAGGATTAGTAAATTTTGTATCTTACAGTTAAAGTTGGTCATTTTCTAAACATTGCAATGATATCAAAGGGAATGTCAGTTTGATTGAAGAAACTGGCAATTTTCTCAAAGGTCACATGGCTTAATATATTAATAAATATATAAAAGAATGTTTTTATATTGACTCCTAATTGCTCATTGCTATATGCATAGATTAGCGCATCTCTCAGTGTCATCAGAGAAGCTTCACTTTGCAGTAGATTGCCACAGAAATGCAACTGACCAATGTGCAGAGAACAAGGAACTGCTGAATCTCAGCCTTAAAACACCCGTATCACACTTCCTCCTCTGAAGGCTCAGGGAAGAGGGCGTAAAAGATTTTAAGGGGCAGATGCAGTGGATTACTACAATAAAACACTGCATTCCAGGCATAACTGGGCAGCACTACATATGGACTCACAGCACACACACACACACACACACACACACACACACACACACACACACAAAGAGATAGAGACAGACAGAGACAGAGAGAAAGAGAGAAATAATTCAAAAACAATAAAATACTTATGGGCTCATTAATGGGCTGTGGTTAACTTGTCTTCTGCAAAAGTATGGTTTTAAAGTTATGATTGAATTGATGGGGTATGATTGAATTAAGGAT